TGGGTTAAGAGAATAATACATCATCATAAATTGCAAACAGTTCACTGTGCGATAATTTAACTAGAAAGAAATGCAGGCATGATGACAGAGATTTTGTTTTCAGGGTTAACTCCTCCCTGACCCTGAAGACAATTCCTGGTGAGGAGCAAGCAATCCTCCTCTCTGCAGCAGGGAAGTACTAGTCTACTTTGTGGTCTGTTCAGTAGTTGCCAGCTCAGTTTCATCATTAAAAGTAACTTCCCTCCAAATTCGTGCAGATCACTGTTTCTCTCCAAATTATCTCCAGTAAATGAAAAAAGATTGTCCAGCCACTGCCTCTTTAGGTAAGACAAATGACCATATGGAGACACAGTTTCCATGATACTTCCATGACCTTCTGGTAAAGGTCCCACACAAAACAGCAGCAGTAAGAACAGTGGAAGGACAGGAGATAATGGTCAAACTAAGACAGGGGAAGATTCTGACTTCACATCGTGGAAGATTTTTCACCACAAGGAATAGGGACACAGAGAAGTTGTCCTCATAGGTTTTCAAGACCTACTTGGACAATGTCAGGTTGCATTGTCCTGGTCTGAATTCAGTATTGACCTTATTTAGCACAGGAGGTTAGACTGCAGATTCCTGAGGTGCCTTTCAACTTGCACAATGATGGTTTTAACATTGCAGAGATTTCAGTCTTCCTTTGAGACTTAAACGGCCACCGACATTAGCCACCTTAGAAAAGGGATCATCATACCTCTACAGCTTTTTTCTGAAAATTATTTATATTTATCTTTTGTGCACATAAACCACAAATTGACACCATCGGGTAACTAGCAGACATATATTCCTTCCCCAGTATTTCATGGGAAGTCAGGGTGCAGCATAGCTACATAAGCACACATATAGACAAACCAAACCAGCTCCCTACAATCATCCACTTCAGCGATCTGCCTCAAAAGTGATCTGACGTACTTGTGCATTACTGCAATTAATCTTGTAATTCAAAGGGGATTTGTAAGCAAGTCATGCACAACACGAAAAGATAATCTAATTTGAGATTCTAATAGCTAATCTAATAGGATTCCTCAGTAATGCATTTAGCAGAGGCAGAGTAAGGATGAGAATTGCTCAGCTGTTCTAGCGTGCTCTAATGCATTCTAGTCAGGAACACGCTTGCTCAAACAGACTGTGGGTGGACGTGCGGCAATGGCTCCCAGCATCAGCACTTTCTGCAAGATCTGTTTAGTGATTCTTAATGAGGTTGGAGCACTCTGGACCACAACTCAAAGTAACAACTTCTCTTAGCCAGTTCATGAAGTTCTGTGCAACCTCCGTTTTCAAGACTAGTATATCTAGACTCCATCCTGTCCACAGATGAGGAAAATATATCTGTGGCAGATCAGATCTAACAAACATTAATCGTAAACCGAGGTAGCATATAAGAGAATTCTCATCTATTCTGTTAGGTAATGCCATGATAGATGAAGACTTACAGGGGGATCGGTTATTCAGTTCAAAGCATCATGTAATTTAATACCAGATTTTTTTAATATTAATTCTTGTTGGTCAAAGCATATGAGGCTGAAACAAGTTAGATTCAGCTGTGAAAGCCAACACCCTGTGATAGGTCTCCTTTACAATAGGTGTAAATTGATAGAACAGGATGGTACACAGGAAAGTTATAACAGCTCCTAAACAACTAAAACCATTTGAGCTGAAAGCACCCACAGAAACATTTAGCAACAGGAGACCTAAAGCAAGCAAAAGCAACTGTGCAAGCATAAAGATGTCACATCAACCATTTGTTGAGCACTTATCCCTATCAAGCCTCCTATACTCTTTATATTTTCATTCTTTCATGAACAAGGATGTTTTCAAAATGTAATGCTGTTGCTTTTGTCCATCAGCAATAATTTAGATGGCAGTCAGCTGCAAGTATCTGATCTAACTGGGTGAAAGACAGACAACTGCATGAACAATTTGGATGGGCTTGAACTTGTTTAACTATCAGTGGCATTAAAGTTATTCCCACCACTTCATCCCAGAACAACACTCTGCTCAATCACACACCCACAGAACAGGTAAGCCCCTGAAATGTGAGAGAGACACTTGATGAAGCGCCTTTGTTTTGCGGCTCCATACAGAGAGTTTTAACCAGAGGAAGAAGGAAATGGGAAGTATGAACTTACTCTGTTCATTCCCTAGAGGCTGCTCCAACATCGCCAGGATGACACTATTATCCAAAACAAAGTAACGGAAGCTATGCTTGTTTATGGTAGGTAGACGAGAATATTTAATTAATGTGGTTTCATTCACCAAGCTGCAAGGAGAAGCAGGGCCACTGGGAGAAGGAAATGCTCCAAGTAACTGCATAATACTGCAAGTGAGAAAAAAAGTTAAGAGTTATGACAGATTAAGAAAGCGAACTGTTCCACCCAAGCACAGACCTTCACTCCTATTCTTTATTTGTATCTTGACACAGCAGTTACCCTATCAGGGCAAGCCTGCCCTCTCCCATCAGCTTGTTTTAAAACAGAACCAGCAACTTCAGAAACACATACATGAAAACCTACAAAGAAGGGTACTCTGCCTACATAATGAGTTTCTTTATAACCTAGGTTATAAAGATATTAAGATATGCTTTAAAGCATGAAAATTTGTACCCTTTCACAGCTTTATGTTCATTCTCATAAGAAGATTATGGATGATTGGAGATAATCATCCGTACTTTAGCCTACTCTTATATCAACAAGCAAGGCAGACAGGGTAGATGTGCTAGTTATGTTTGCTTTCTTCAAGTACAGATTACATTAACTTAAAACCTTTTAAGAAAGACCCAGGATCACACAAGCAATGCTACCATAGATGATAACCTTCCCTGGGAGAAAGCCTCCAGGTGTGGTCCAACAGTGCCTACCTCCTTGGAGCCACGGCCTTGGAAGGATCATAGAAGTACCCATTTAAATCATCTGAAGTTGTACAGGATCTACCTAATACTATTAGAAATGGAAAAATTCTATGGCAGGAACTAATAATGAGAGTGGTCCAGTGTCAGACTGAAAATCATGGGATCTCAGGACTTTACTCTTAACACCACCGCCCAGACCAAAAGTAAGTTTATTGAAGTCCTCCCCACACACTTTTCCACTTTACTCTGAGAACAGATAGTTTCATGTCTCTAAATGAAAAGAGAAACTTTTAGTCAACAATAAAGGTTTGTCCACAATTTCCAATGAGTAGTTGTTTTTACTAACAGTAAAGTTTATAACAATTTTATTGCAAAGCAGAGCAAAAAAGAAAGCAGCTATTGCCTTTTGCAAAACATATTTATCCTACCCATCCTCAATCTGTCCTGTCTACCATCATGCTGTTCATCTAGTAAAACAGTGCTTTTCAACTTCTCTGGAGCAAATCTCAGTTTTCTTCTGTGTGCTTCCCCTCCCCAACCCACACATTATCTGTTACTGCATTTCCAGCAGAACCTCTCAAATATATTTAAGTAAGCCCAATGCTGTGGGCAGAATGACATCCCACCCTGCCCCAGCTTACATCTGCTGTGTGTGCCATTCCTTGCTGTGTTACACATGAGACAGTGTCTATCAATTTCCTAATCAGTATGGGGATGACATATCTTGTCGGGCTGAGGATAAGGAGAAGCGGGAATGGAGAGACAGGATCACTAGGTCAAGTGGGAGACAGAGGGAACTGCTGTCTGCAGAGAGGTCTGGCCAAGAACAGAATACCAGGGGCTGCAGGAGGGCTTGCGTTTTGCTCTCCCAGAGCAAAGAGAGAAGCATGGCAGAGGGGAAGAGAACAGGCAAGAGGGGAAGGCAGCAATCACAGGGATCTTTTTTTCTGTTGAACACCTGTAATGGGAGGGGGAAGACAGCTAGGGCACAGCACAGGACAACCCTGCCCGAAGGGCAAGACAGAGGGAGCTTCTGCCTGACTTTTCAAATGCTCTTGCTACATCACAGAGGTCTCACCAGCTGGGAACTCCTAATTAGAACACCCTCAGACAAGGCAATGCTAAACAGTAAACATGCTCTGACGAATTACATACCACGTTAGTGTAGCTTCAGCAGCATCCTTCACTCTCATGGATGCAGGGTTTGGCTCCTTATCTCCTTTGTACTTGACCTCTTGTTCACTGCTTTTGGATTTACTTCCTGAAATGCCCAGCTCCACAATCTCCAGTACCTCTTTTAAACAATCCTAAAACACAAGAGGAACCACCTTAAAGCAGAAGCACTCCGATAAATGTCTCAAAGACCTCAGTGAAACAGTAATATACCATCGATTAAAATAAAGTACTGCTGGTAATATGAGCTCAGAAATAAAGGCAGAAGATTATTCTAACAGACAGTCTTGGAATAAGATCACATTTTCTACAGGAATGATATTTTCCCCATCTACAGATGTCTACTCATGTTTGTATTCTAATGGTAGAAAATGCTCTGAATGAATACACATAATATATTCCATTACATATGTACAAAATTGCCAAGAGGACTACTAGGAGTTGCAATTGAAAAACATAAACATATTTAAAGAGAATAAATGCATTTCTGAGACTCTCTGCACAACTTTTAAGTTCTAAGCACATTAAGAATGAACTCATCTGGAAAACTACAAGAAATCCTTCTCCAAATCTTTCAATTGCCAACAGCTTTTCATGAGTAAAATATATCACGGTATCTAATTCATACCATGTATCTAATTCATCCAAAATTATTCATCATTCGAGAAGAACAATAACAATATTCTAAAAGTACACAGCAAAGCTTCAACAAATTTATTACAGGAGAGGCCAACACACAGAACTGCAGGTATGACTCACAGGTGTTGCTCATTACAAAATTGTTTGCTGAAAATACTTGGATTACTACAACAAAAGTTCAAATCTCATGGCTTGAGCTATAGAACAAGGAAAGTGTTCTCATGAATAAATAAGTGGCTAAAATCTGAACACAAGTGGTCAGTTTTTACCACCAGAGACCAGGCAGGGTTCTATGCCTTGGCCTGTGTCCCTCCTTATATTCATAATTGAAGAGGTGAAGAGGAAGATTAAAAGTTTTCTGACAGAGCAAAATTAATCAGCGTCAAGATGCAGAGACTGGCCATGAAGAATTACAGAAGGCATTTACAGTGTTGGCTAGTAAAACAGCAGGTGAAATTCAAAGCAAATATAAGGTGAGGCACCTGGAAAATTGCAATTCTAATACTTCCAAATGCAATGAAAGGTCCCCATCTGACTAGCATGACTCAGGAACGAGCTACTAAGTGTCCAGTATACACAACACACAGTATGCAACACTATCTCAATATGTAGTGATAATAAAAATAAAAAGAGAACCTAATGAAAGGAAGTAAAACATTATGCAGCTGAATAAACCCATGCTGTGCCACATCCAGGGAAACCATGCTGTCCTAGTCACCTACCGCCATGACAGTATCCCAAAGTGCATGCAGAAAGCATCTTTATTTAAAGTCCTGCTTGTGGGTTTTCAGTTTTCTTTTTTTTTTATATAAATATTTTTATAGATGCTATAGAGTATATAAACAAAATATAAAGATATATAAAACATATGTTCTATATTAAACTACATTAATATATTATATAATACATATTAATATACTATATAATATATATTAATATACATTATATATAAAAATATAGAAAGATCACTGAGCTGCCTCTGCAAGGAGACCAGCAATGTAAATATGCACTCAATTTTTTTTTTTTAATTTATTTTTTTTAAACAGCAGGACAGAAGGCTGTTGGAAACACGCATCTTTCATTTCCTGCTCTTTTCAAGCTTCCCAAGCAAATTCCATCTTGGATTGAGCCTTGCTCAGTTTCTAGAAAACTGGTTTCTTGGTGGAACAAGCTATGATTATCAAAATATTAGCATCAAAGGAATTCCGTTAAGTCTAGATGATGCTTTTTCAGGTTTTCTTTTCTTCTCTCATTTTCTAGTTTCACAAAGCAAGAAGAAAGATCAAGACATTCTTAGAAATATGAAAGGCAATTTTAAAGCCAAAAACATTCTTGGTGAATAAAGAGCAGAAATCAAAATTCAAAACTATTTTGCACGGAAACCAGTTTTGAAATTCCTAGTATACTTTTGAAAACTAAGAAAACCACATTAAAGTATCAGGAACAGACAGGTCGGGCACGAAAGGCATTACAATTTGGAGTGCTCGAAATATATACACCAGAGACACTTACCTTCTCATCCAGCATGTCGGGGTGCTCAGTGAGCCAGACGCAGAGGCACTGGAAAGCTGCAACGATCATGGAGTGAAGGTCACGGGAGTGGAGCGGGGCTGGGCGGCTGCACTGGTACACTATGTAGCTGCATAAGAGCTCTCTGCCGATCAGAGGAATCAACCACCACTTTCACCTGTGTAAAGCAAGCAGGAAAGGATGAGAATTGCTCCACAAAAATCCTTCAGAGAAGAAATCTTTTTTAAAAGCATTTTAAATGCAGTTTTAAGAAATAGGAATAAACGGTTGAGCTCTTTTATGATTACAGCTTAAAAGCTGTGGGTAAAAATATTTAACAGTGATGGATATTGAAACTTAAAAGAAAGAAATGCTGCATTGAGGTGCCACCACATTGCATGGTTTGGTTTCCAAGAGCAAGAGTGGTACCAATATGGTTTGATAAGAAACTAATTGTGAGCTGAATAAATTAGCATTTAAAACATATTTTCAGCAAATACCTCTCTCTCCTTCAGCTATAGCAACCCATTCTGTATCTCTGAGAACCCACTCACTGCCAAGTCTCCCTTCTACAGGGCTTCATTCCGCTCACATAACTTTCCACTAGGCATATTTTGTCAGCACAGTAACTTTCACCAGTGAAAAAGGGACAGAAAACCCACCCTCAGACAAGCAGATTGGCAAAAAACCCCATAACTCCTCTCCCAAAACTCACTGCAAAAACCCCTCAGCTTCTCCCCCAACTCAGGGCTTCAGGGAGCAAGGCTTCAGACCAGAGGGTTAGTGAAGAGGTACATACACTGGGTACACTGAGGCATGAGGATCTACATTATAAAACTAAAGAACTGAAATTCTCTTCTCTTTTCTTCCCAACCTGTGACTTGGCACAGGAACAGTCAGTCAAAGGTGGATCTTTCTACTCTGTAGCATTTGACCATGCCATGTAAAGTTTTACTCATTAAGGTGCACCCTTATTCAAGCAGGAAGGTGGATGGTCTTACTGGTGACAACACTGGAGCCAGGCAGCTGTACTCCACACAGCGGGGCGGGTGGCAATTCAGAGCCCTAGGACGAAGGCAGCATTTCCTTCAGAAGTGTAAGATCTACGGCAAATAGAATCCCCTCAAGATGAGCTTATGAAAAGCAGGTTGGTGAACCAGCACTCTTGCAGGAAACAGGATTTTTTAATTTACCAAGTCCCACTAATAACCTGGTGCTGAACAGACACAAGACAGGGCAGCCTCTAACCTGAGAAGGGCTTTGGGAATTGTCACCTCCAAATGCACAAGCAGAACTGGTTCTCCAACTCCACAGCAAGAGGTGATCCCTTTCTACTCTCTTCACTACGAAGGGGAAAGATATCCAAGATACCCCAGAGGAAGAATTACTTCAGTTGCAAGAGAATTATACAAAGATTACAATATTTAATATTAACCTGGGCAGGCATTTGAAAAGATAATATATTTTCACATTTCCATCTCATTGCAAGCCAAGGAAAAAAAAAAAAAACAAAAACCTGGCTTAACCACACAAGCTGCAGGAACCCCTGGTTCTGTATGACGCTCTGTAAGACCCAATAACCATACATTAATTCATTGCAGAACACTTCCAAACACATCCTTCAGCTCATGCTACTGCAGTAATAAAATAAGCACCCAGTCCAACATGGCTCAGTGCTGACTCCACGCTCTAAAAAAATGCCTGAGACGTGTATTTCAAAGAGAACTGTCAAGTTCCCAGGGGAATGTGACAGGAAATGCTGAACTGTCACGCCAGGTCATGGTGGCTGCTGTAAATACACTGGACTATTGCTTAACAAGTGTCATGAAGTCCAGCTTGGGGACAAGAGCCCTCAAGCAGAAAAGGGCATTTTACTTCGCAGAGAGCCCCCCCACCTAGTAGTTTTACTTCAGTTATTTGCTGTTGAATCAAGGAACTGTGTGCAGATAAAGCTCTAAAGAAGGTGACACCTTCATATTAGAAATACACTATCATTTGCTAAGGTCAGAAAACTATTTCCAAGGTGAGATGAAAGGGGAAAAGCAGGTACAATGCTTAAACAACTTAATTGCCCCTTCTGTAATACTCTGGCATATTTGCAATCTGCCAAGTAACAGCAATAAAAACTCTTGTTTCTAAGTCTGGTTACACAGTGAACAGACAGACTGGCCCAGCCAAGCAAAGCTATGATAAATGGTTCACAGTGGGGTTGAAAACTAATGGCCCAAGCCCCTACACTGCCACTGGAAGCTTAGTGGCAAGTTTTTCCTCAACTGTGTAACCTAATATGGCAGATGCATCCCCTGTAGTGTAAAAAAACAAAACAAAAACCAAAACCAGACACACATGGGAATCCATGAGAAAGGTTAGGAGCCATCCAGCTAGCTCAACAAAACCAGCCAGAACTGTACAGTAGAGCCACATGTATCTGAACAAGCCACCCTGAGCTTCACTTTCAGCCAAAGGCATTTACAGGGCACACATCGTTTGAGCCACAGAGCATTTACATTAGGAGATGAAGAAGTACAAAGTGAATACTGTTTTTTCTCATGTCCAAACAGAACATTTGCTGACAAACTCAGACAGACATCTGTTCGGTGGCATATGACTTTCACCTAAACAGGACTCTAATCACCCTTTGAGAAGAGGCCAGAGCACACAAAACTTCACCCCTCACCTTTGCCAGTCCAGACAGAAGCTCCAGTGCAGCCAGAGAGATACTCATGTCCTGCCTCCACTGTGAGTTGAGTCTTTGGGTTACCAGGTGAATACTGCGTATCAGTAGTCCAGCAGCTGTATCTGTATTAAGAGCTAGGATATAACCCCAATATCACATACCACAGGGAGGGAAAATAACTAAGCGTTAGTGACAATAAGCAAAGCACAAGCACAAGCCAAAGCAGCCACAATACACACATAAAATAAAAATCTACAAAACCCAGAATCTAGAAGTTGGGTTGGTCACTTTTGCACAGGCTAACTCCCTTATATACACCACCAGACATTATACAAATCATTCAGACAAGCTTATCTCTATTTTTTTTAAAGACATTTTGGATAATCCCAGTAAAAATAGACCATCTTATTTTCAGTTCTCTTGTTTGAAGCATCCTGCTTCAAATTCTTTTCATAAATTTCATACACCCTTACCTTCTGTGCATAGGAAAAAAAAGTCCATTAAAATGAATATATTACAAAAATATCCTTCAAATTATGTCACGGTTTAAACACTCAATAAGTCAAATATTTAAAAGATTTTTTTTTAACCTTACAAAGGGATATTTTTACAAGGACTTGTCAATGAAAACCCATACGAATTAAACACACAATTCAAATGGTGTGCTGAAAACTAGCTTTTTAATAATTTCA